TTCAGACGTGTGCTCTTAGAACTAAAATCTCAAGCATTATTTAAGTGATGAGATTATTTCTCTTTTATATAATATATGATAAAATATATGAAAAAAATCAATATGCTTTTGTTACCTTTATTTTTAGTAATTTGAATTTATATTTTCCTTTTTATTATCATAGTTTTCTAATGGCTTTATTATTATTAACTATTACTTAATTTTTTAAAATAATTTTTTAATATAAAGAATATTTAAAAGCAAATTTGATCGCTTGCATTCTTATATTAGGTTAATGCATACTAAAAGCTGCTATATACACAAAGTTAGCAAAATTAAATATAAAATAAGATGAAAACTCGATTTTTGCTTGCAAAAAAAATAAAAATTAAAAAGCTAAATTACGAGCAAAATGGATGTAAGTATAAATATAATTTACTCATGAAAGAAATAATAATATATTACGTTATGACACTACTTATTATAGTCTACTTTATCAACCAAATTAAAAAAAGTTACAATCTCATGTTAAAATTATATGTCTGTAAACGGAAGACAACATAGAAAAAATAATGCCTATTGGAATTAATTAAGCAAAATCAAATTGTAAAATCAACAAGAAGTTTATTATTCATTTATTGTTTGCGTTCATTTTATTAGTCACAGATAAGACTTGTAGTTTTCATAACATTTATTGAAACTCATATAGTTTTAATTTTATTCTGATCCACATATTTTAATCATTATTTTGACAATATTAGAATATTAATTGGATTTCTATTGACTTGATCTTTGACTGCACTATTTCTGAATATAATCTGACAACCAATATATTCTCGCAATTTTGCTTTGCCAATACTTCATGGACATCTATTTTATTGACCTGACTAATATATCGATTCACTTATCAGATAATTTTTTATTGAACTATTTATTTCACTATGTTTTTAATTTCTAATATGTACTATCACAGATGAAGCCTCTTGTTGATTTTGATTTGTTTTTATTTAATTAATTCCAATATGCATTATTTATTCTATTATTAACCTTCCTTTACAATCATGTATTTATATGTAATTTTAACATGAAAATATAACTTTTTTAATTTGGCTGATGAAGACTGAATAGATTCGAAACATATCACATTATTTTCCTTTTTCATGAGTGTATTTTGCTGCGGAGAAAGTTAATGTACATTTTTAACAATGTAGATAAATTTTAATTTTATTTTATCTTTTTATCTTTTTCTAGTTCTAAGGATAATATATTTTTTATTACAGAAGCAGTAACTAAGGAATGTCCAACAATAAACGAAACAATATTTGGTAGAAAAGCAGGAGCATGACTGGCTCAAGCTATCTTTTGTATAAGAAAGTAAATATACATTTTAGTATTATGCAAGATTTTTATTGCATATTTGGCTATGTACGGCATGCATATGAGTTAAAGATTTATCAAAAGTCATTAATTAAATTACATTTATCATATTTGTTTATTAATGTTGATATTTATTAATTTTGATATATTTTTAACATTAACAGACACAGCAATATCAACGACGAAGCTTGTCCAGACGACAACGATTGTAGCTCATCTGAGAGCCTCATCCGCGAGAATAATGATGAGGACAGTGGAGATGAGGAGAAGCAAAAGAAAGACGAAGAAAAAAATCTTCCATAAAGGTAAATATTTGATCGGCGATAGTATTTTCATCTAGCCTTGTCCATTTGTGGAAGAAATATTCGGATATATATCTACATATATGAGATGTATATCACTAGTAGTAAGAAAAGGAGATTTATTCTTAAATCTTTATTCTTAAAAGAAAGTATTAGAGAAGACAAAAATCTTTTATTACTAAACTGAAATATTTTATTAGAAAATTTTACTTTGTGAATTCCTGCAAGATTCTCTAAGGCAGCATTTCTAATACAAAAAGAAAAGCAGAATTTGTAACAACTAATAATAAGTTGCATCGATAGCCTATAATATATTCTCCTATAATTGTGCAAAAACGTTAAAACAGAGATTAAGAAAAGTGAAGAAAGTTTTATTGGTTTCATAAATAAGTGCTATGTGAATCAACAAAAGATAAAAAAATAGCAATTCTGTCTTTTCGCATGTATTATAATGTCAATGCTCTTTAAACAATCATAAATTTTAAATTAGAATTGTAAAGTATTTCTCTAATGTCTGATATAATTAGTATAACAGTGTAGATATTCTAATGCTACATACTTTTGCATTACTTTAGATAATCTCACCTCAATTAAAGAAAACTAGTCCAAGCTGCAATCGGATGCTTTTAGTTATAGAAGAAAAAGAAGACCGAATTGCGAACCGTACCTTTGTATATATACATTTACTTTGAGTTATTCATAGTTTTAAAATAGTTTATGTGTTAAGGATTTATATAATCTAAGTTTTTTCGTTTTGAATAGTTTTATATATCTCGAGTTATAATTATAGTTATTTTTTTTGTTGACAGAAGATTTATATACATATATATAATCTGATATAGATTTTTCATCAAATGTATATTATAGAAATATAAAAATATTTTATATGTAAAACTTTTTGAAATTTTAAATAAACATTTTCTAAACGTCAAATTAAATGTTTATTAAATGTCCAAAAACATTTTTTAAATATTAAAATAAACGTTTTTATAATATTTAAAAAATGTTTTTTTCTAACATTAAATAAGTGTTTCTAAAACATTTAAATATTACTTTAAATGTTAAAATAAACATTTTTTTAATATTTAACTAATATTACTTCAAATGTTAAAATACACATTTTTTAAATATTAAAAAAATATTTCTTCAAACGTTAAAATAAACAATTTTCAAACGTTAAAAAAATATTTTTTTAAATGTTAAAATAAATGTTTTTCAAATGTTAAAAAAATATTTCTTCAAACGTTAAAATAAACGTTTTTTTAATGAAAAAAAGCACTTAACCCATTATTTAAATGTTTTTAAAAATGTTTTTTAAATATTTTTTAAATATTTTTAAAAATATTTTTTAAAACATTGTGTGCTGATTGGATGTCGCTACGCGCCCGCCGAGCGCCACAGCCAAGCCAGTAATTGTAGTATAATATTTCCGTAATTGTGTGCGTGTGATAATTCGTGTTTCCGAAGAGGCCTTACGCCGTCGGAACGGAATTCGAGAGAATTTTCGGGATCACGGGATCCAGGGCCGGATTAAGAAACTTTTGGGCCTGAAGCGCTAAAAATTTTTGGGCCCCTTATCCCCTTGTAAAAAAATATTTAAAAAGCGTAAGAAAATAAACATTATTTGTTATTTAGTTG